AAATTTTAAAAATTATAATAATATACCATAAGAAAAGTTATGTAAACGTGTTCTCTCAAAATATTTGAACTCCTCTGCCTCGAAAGCACAATGTCCTGAGTTTGATCCCCGGCACAAAAAAATAAATAGGGGCCAGGGATTTAGCTCAGTGGTTCCGCCTCCTGCCTTGCAACCACAAGGACCCGAGTTTGATCTCTGGTACCAAAAAACAAAACAAAACAAAAAAATAAATCAATATTTGAATTCCTCATTGTATTTCTGTAACATTTTCAGACCTTGCTTAACTTCAGGCAACTGAAACCTCATAAAGGGAAACAGTGGGTAAGGGATGGGCTGCTATATGTAGTCGTTTACTGTGTCTCTCCCAGCTAAGGGCAAGTTGTACAAGGGCAGGGACCTGATCTCCATTGTTTATTGGTATATCTTAGCACCTGCAAGGCCAGCCCTTAGTAGATGCTCAATGAATATCTGCTGAACGTTAAGGGACAGTCTCACAAAGTTCAGGGGCCCTAAATTGCAGGCATGGTTTATGACTGGTTTAATTCTTCTTACTTGAGGGCTCTAGGGTTACAGCTCTAAAAACTGATTGATTTTGCCAAGAGCTAAGGAATAAATTCTCCTAATCTCACTGTTCCACAGGGTGTTTTAGATCTAAAACACAAGAAAGATGCACATAGATAAAATCATAGCATGAACACTCAACAGATCACAAACTAGTCGGGTCTTTCCAACTGAACTGAGCAGGGACCATCTGGACTCACCACTGTCTCCTCCAGCCCCTTAAGGTCCTCTCTGGCTTGTTCCCTTTTATCATTGAGCAATCTGAAAAACAAAATGGAATCATCAACCACCAAAGGGGAATCAGAACGAGGCACTGCTATCTGGCTCGACAGCTAAATCAACAAAACAAGCCAACAGAGGCACAAATAGCCACTGTCTGTTTTTAAATTAGCTCAATGTAACCGGAATATCTGGGTCTCAGAATCCGGAAAGCAGAGTATTTATGACCACCCAGGGAAGAAAGAGAGCAGATATTTAAAGTGCACTCACAAGAGCTTTTCCAGTTTCATTTCTCTCTCTTGCTCCTCTATTTTCAGCTTGTTATAATCAGAACTGAGCTTCTCCTGTTCCAGTTGCAGTTTCTGATTCAAACTGAAATGGAGAGGAAAAGCAACATAATCCAAATCTGCCTGAAATTCTGAGTCATCCAGCTAAAATTGTGGTTCTGTTCCAACCCCATTAGTTCTGTGCAATAAAGGCAGCAATTCTCGAGGATTTTGAGGGATCATCAGAGAACAACCTCACAGCTTCTACTCTGCCCAAGTGAAAACTAATTTTTGGGAAGCATCGAGGAGACATGAAACAAAGGCTTTGAGGACGTATTTATAGTCTGCTTGTGTGCAAGAGCTTCAGGAGGAAAATAATGACACTGGGAAAGGGCTGATATTTTAAAACAGAGAAACTGTCCCTTTAGAATCACTCTGCTTCCAGAACCACATGGATAGCAAAATTCCCCTCAGGTAGCCTCATGTGGCCATTGCAACCTGCTCCTCTCTGGTTAGATGCTCTGCAGATCTCTCTCAAGTCCAAGTGCCTGTCTGACGCAGGGACAATTTCCACTCTGTGACACCAGAGGAGGGGTTCAGAGAGAGGGGTTATGAAGAGCAGAGTTGGGTTCTAAGGGAAACAGAAATTGCCATCTAGGTGGGGCACTTGGTCAACATTTACATCAGCCCAGTGTGTGTTAAGACCTCTGGTGTGGCCATGCCCAGCAACGGTAAGGGAGCAGATTATGCACTGCAGGAAGGGAAGCCTGGGGTCCATTTGAAAGGCACAAGACCTGGGAAACTTCCCCATCAAGCAACTTGCTCACTGACCCTGCTCTTTCTCGCCTTCCTTCCCTCCCTTTTCCCTCTCTCTCCCAGATGAATATGTCAACGGTGATTCATCAGAGTAATGAACAAAAGAGAAACATGTCGTGAGAGGTAGCCCAGGGGAGGCCTAGAAAGAGAAGGGGAGAGAGGATGCTGAGAGCTTTCCTCGGGCAGATTGTGTGCAAGAGCCTAACTCATCATTTAGATTTTTGCTCCAGCTACCACTCTCCTCTTCCAAAATGCAAATGCACTGTGCAAACAGCTCACATATATCGAGAAGAGATTTGGATCAGTAGTCTGGAGAATTAAACTCTTAACTCCAGTCTGATTCCTATTTAGCAACCTGACCTTAAGTAAAATAATGTAATCTTGCTTCTCATATGGAAATCTGTTTCTTCATTTGCAGAAAGTAGGAGGGAGGGAACCCTTGGTGTAACAGGAAGGAGTGTCAGTGGATGGAATAATATTTCATTAGCACTGTTTTCTTTGTAATCCTATGCCTTTCATCTGGGCCAGTCAAAACATTATTCCACAAAAGGGTCCAGAGACTTCCAAGGGAATCCGCTGTACGAAGTCATTAGGAAGCCCCAGCAGGGACCCACAGGCACCCTTGGGCTGGGTGATTTGTGCTGCCCCTGAAAGGTAAGGTAAAGGCTGAGTGGGAAGGGGGCCTTATGGAGCAGGGGCTCCCCTGTAACTCCAACAAGGCAGGGGTACAGCCATGAGGGCAAAGTCCCCAGAGCTGACCTGCAGCAATCCAGCCTGGTGGAGGTGCCATGGACCACAGCTCCACAACACATGACCAGGTGGCTGCATGGCGCAGGGAGCAGGTGCATGTTGTGCTGAGGTGGTGGCAAGGGCTGACTGTCTTCTCTGGAATTTATTAACCTATCAAAGTCCCTAGGTCAGGACCAATTGCTTTTTTCATACTTTCATACAGCCTCCTCATCTCCTGGGGCAGGTGTCTGCCCAGAAGGTTTGCCAACAATGTGATCCTGACCCAGGTTGGGGTGTGACGAAGAGGGGCAGCAGCTAGCTCACCTGCCACCTGCCTCCCCAGAGCCCCAGAAGGCTGGACTCCAGATTGGAGAACAGACCTCAGGGCAGCAAGCCCAGCCCAAGGTGGCACCAGGGCAGAGCACAAAAGCCACAGGGCAAGGGGACCCAGCCCCTTGCCATAGGCCAAATTCCCCTGGGCTGGCCCAAGAGGACAGAGCCATGGCCACCCCCATGCACTACAAGCCCCCAGCCCACTCACTCCCGGATCTCGTCAATGATTTTCTGCTTCTCCTCAATTTCATCTCGAAGCCTGGACAGCTGCTTCTGGTGAGCTTCCCGGTGGCTCTCCATCTGCTGCTCCAGTGCCTTCTGCAAGCCAGGCCAGGAGAAATGTGTCATCCACTCATTGGCACTCGGCCCACACCATGACAAGCCCTGGACCCAGATCTACTTCCCTTGGCTGTCAAGAGCCCAAAACTAAGGAGCTTTCTGGCTCTTGTGGCCTCAGCACCTGGCCTTGCTTTAATTGGGACAGCAAAACCCAAAGATCTGTAAAAAAAACTGTGTGGGCCCTATAAGTAAATCAGTCCAGTGATTAAGATGAAAGTTTTCCCTGACCTTCTACAGCTTGCTGGAGCCACAAGGCCTATCGAGTCAGGTCAGGGAAAGCATAGCCTCTTACTACCCGAGTGACCTCGGACAAACTACACAACCTGTGTGAGAGAGCTGCTCTCTCACCTGTAAAGCTGAGGTTTACACCCCTGGCCTGCACACTGTAGCCATGAGACATGTTCACAGGGAACCTGCCCAATAAAGAACCCTGAAAATGGAAGTGGGGCTCGCCCAGGTGAGGCGGGAGGGGTTCTGCTGGCTGGAGGAGGGCTACGCTCTAACTGTGAGCTTTTACGCCACAAGGCTCATAGTCTGCTCAAAACTATTCAACATTCTATCACATCTCATCTTACTCATCTAAAAGTCCTATCTCTCAGTCATTTCCCCATATTTTCCTTTCCTGATTAAAATGTGACCAATAACAACCAGATTGTTCAGGATGGAAACTCAAATTCTGAGTGTTTCTTTACAAAAGCCAAAGGGCAAGGTTTTCTTCCACTCGAGGAGCAGAAGGAATCCATGTCTTTAGAAGTTACCCCTGACAGTGGGGCACACACAGAGACTGGGGGTGCTGCCCCCTCCCTCTTACTCCAGAACAGGGGAGACAAAGGCATTGATAACCTTGTCTATGGGTACCTTGGAATTCTGAAGAATCCATGGTCATCCCGCGCCTAGGCCAGGCCATGCCAGAACAGCTCTGAGTGCCCGGCACTGAGCCCTCCCCTCTCCCACCTACACGGGTCTGAAGGTGACAGACTTTTCTAGAACAAGAATACCCAGTCCGAATGCATGAAGCACATGCTGGGCCAGGTGGAAGGGGCAGCTGTACACACCTTCATCTCCTCTGCATCCTGTAGCCGCGTCAGATGTTCCTTTTCCTTATCCTGAAAACTGACTTCGTGCATTTTTTCTGTTTTGAATGTTAAATGATGATTTAAGATAACAGGCAGGACTCACCCAAAAACAAAAAATTAAAGAGGCAAAAGACAAGAAAAATGGCAACAGAGTGAGACATCAGCTTTCATCAGCAATCACAAAGGAAAGGGCCTCCCAGCGGAAAACCTGTGCTAACGCCAAGACTGATCTCCTGTGCTGGTCTGGTCGGCCTGAGTGTCTGGATCCAGGCCCTAGGGGAGAGCAGTGTCCGGAGGGCAAACGGTGCTAAGTGGAAGCAGCCCTTAGAACTGCATCCTGGCTCTGATCGCCTCACACTTTGCAAGCCTTGTTTCCCACCTGGCCTCTTAAGAGCAACTCCTGAGGTCACATACACAAACATGCTTTGCAGATTATAAAGCACCCTGTGAATGTCAGGTGGCATTTGGATTCATGCCACTGGTAGAATTCCAGAAAGAGCTAATTTACCTCCCATGGGTAGGCTGTTTATTTTCTAAGACTCTGGAGCAGGAGAACAATCTAAGGCTGAGAGCAAGGAAAGGGAAATAAGCACAGCGCTCCCAAGATTCCACAGGAGGCCCCTTGTGGGGCAGGGCTTGCACGGGTCTTGTTCTCCGTCTCAGCGCACCCCGCCCGTGGGGCTCTGGGAGTGCACGGTGCAGTGGGCAGCCTAAGCTGGGGAGTGGGAGGGGGAGCAGGATTGTTCAAGACGGTGGCATTTATTTCACAATTGTTCTCTAATCTGTTCCACTTTACTTGAGGGCTTGCTTCTCGGTTTTATTTCTTTCAGTGGCATCACTGCAGGAACTAGAGATATGAGGGAAAAATTCTTTTCCTTGTCTACTTTTTCGTGGTGAAGTCCATTCCTAACATCCATTCTTTAGCATATAAAGAAAATGTTACAAAGTTATAGCAGGGAGGGTAGGTTCGGTTTTTTTTAATTTAAAACAAATGTATTTACTAAGCAAATAACTATGCAACATCCATGAAGGACATTTTAAAAAAGATATTATAACCACTAGCCCTATTACCCCATCAAAACTACTTAAAATATTTCTAGGAACACAAGACTCCATTTGGTTTTAGTAGTTATAAACATAATAAAGCTTAAATTTTGTACCACAATTTCTTTTTTTCTTCTTGGTACCAGGGATTGAACTCTGGTCCTTGCGCTTGCAAGGCAAGCAACGGAACCACTGAGCTAAATCCCCGGCCCTGTACTACAATTTCTCACCCAACTGCATCATCAGTATTGCTGCACACCCTCACATACTTCAGCTCCGATGTGAAAAAAGATGCTCCATTAAAGTTTCTTTAACATTAAACAGATAGGTGGTTTTTTCCTTTCTTTTTTTGTTGTTGTTGTTGTTGTCGCTTTGTTTTTCCTGATCTAAAATTCTGCAATGAGTATTTGAGATGTGAGGATCAAAGGGTATGAGGAGATGTTATGATTATTTAACTTGCCTTCCAGCAAGACTACATTTTAATTTCAAACTAGAATATATGTGTTTGGTCACATTATACAATGCATATATTTTTAACCCTGTTCTAGTTCTGTATTTCTACTTACCACTTTTGAATTTCTTTGCCTATTTATTCACATATATGAAGTATTTCCTATTCATCAGGTACCAACTGTCAAAGGGAAGAGCTCATTCAAGGTCAGAGGGTGCCAGGTTAGCCATGGCAGGAGCTCACACTTTATATGAAGAGCAACAGAATTTGAGGGAAGGATGAGGCACAGGGGTCAGGCACAAAGTGGAATTTGAATTTTAAAAGTACCCAGTGGGACACAGCACAGTGGCAGGCTCAGACCATACAGGGGGTAGGTCTCCTCGGCAGACGGGAAACCATAATTCTTAATTCTCCTGCATGGTGGCAATGGAACCAAAAAGAGCAGAACTGAGGGAAAGCTGGCAGGTTGAAGAACAGGCCTTGGTGACTGACTAGAGGGTGGCAGTGGGGCTGGGAGGATTCTGACCCCGACACTGAGGGAAATGTGGAGATGAGCAGATTCTGGGTCGGGACAGTCTTCTACAACTTTCTCCTTTTCTTTTTTCTTTTAGATATACTATTGATTTTAGCAGACCTAGAAATGAGCAAAACTAAACCTCACGACTCTAGCCAACTAGGGTTTGTCTGATCTAGGTCAAGCATTTGACACCTGCAAAGGAGCTGAATATTTACCTTGGGCCCGGAGCTTGGCCAGCTCTTCGCTAAGGGAGTCCTGGGACTCTTCCAATTGTCTGCGCTTCTGTTCCATGTTCTGCATGTAGTCTGTCAAAGATTTGATCTTGGCTTCATGCTTTAAACAAGAAAACAAGTCAAAGGGAAGAGTGAATGACTGGCAAGTGGCCCTCCGGCTTGCCTGGGACTGTTGGATAGGAAAAGACAACAGAGGAGGGGTTCTTGTGCTCCCATCCTGAGCACCAGCACCAAACAGTGCATATTCTGTTTGCCTTAAATTTGTAGGAACCAAAGCCCACACTGGTTTCCCTCCTCTCGGATAAGTACGCCGCTTGGCCCGGAGTGTAACTCAGCGGCAGAGCACTCAGTTGGCATGTGCAAGGCCCTAGGGTTGATCCCCAGTACTGGGGTGGGGGTGGGCCAGGGAAGAGAAAGGGCCTAGAAAAATGTTCAGGCTGAAGGCCTCTTTCTCTGAACGTGCACCCCTAAATTCCACCTGCAAATATTGTATGTTTTTCTTCTTCTGTCCTTCACACACACCAACTCCTGTCTCAAAGACTTTGCATTCTACATGTTCCTGTTTCTGAGCAGCTTCTCTTCCCACCAATGCCCCCAATACACACACACACACACACACACACACACACACACACCCTGGCTAGCTTATCATGTATGCCCCAACATTTTCTTATAACCCTTGTACATGATTTACTTTCTCTATTTCTTTTTACTTGTTAGCTTCATGAAGGAATAGAGCATACGCTTAATAAATATCAGTGGAAATCATAAATGAATGAATGAGTGCATGGAGCTCAATGGCTGAACAGGGACCCTGGTAGCTCCTCGGCAGGGGGAATATGCAGCATGCTTCCTCATCAGATCCAGGGAGCTCACATTTAGGCAAGAAGATCCTGCAGACTGTGTTCTAATGACATAACTTCTTCAGAAAATGCACTTCAGTTGCAGCAGTTATTTGGTAGGATAGCTTGTGGGAAGAAGATGCATACACATAAAGAAGACAGCATTTATGCTGGAAATATTCTGACAGATTCTTTAGATCATATCAGAAAATAGATCCAAGGTTTCAATTTTTTGAACCCCAGGAAATAACTACTGAATTCTTGACTGTGTGTAAATCATAGCACAGCACGAAATCACACCTAATGGAAAACTGTCTTTGTGGCTAATATAAAAAGACCTTTCTAGAAAAAAAAAAAAAAAAAGACCTTTCTATTAACCCCAAAACCTCCTAATCTTCTTGACTCGGATCTCATGTACCAAGGTCAGTGTCACTCTGAAATCTGGCCACTTGCCCTCATCCATTTGCACAGAGTCCAGCTGACCCAGTTCCGGAAATTCCCTCTGTTCAGGGAGCACAGGTAGGAGCTGGACATGGAGCCAGTGTGTCCAGCTGAGAAGAGAAGATACGCTCTGCTCTTGCCCTCGCCTTGGCCCCCAAATGTTATGGACACAACTACCTGAAGTGCACGCTGTCGGAGTCACAGGAGATCCAGAGATTGGAACTGAGGTGCACTGCTCCCTGAGGTTTATCGCTTTTCCTCTCCATTTTCATTAGTTATAAAAATGGTTTTTTAAATGACAATAATCATAAATTATAAAATATATAGCAAGTCTAGAAAAGTGGTATAAATTTCACCCATCAACCACTCAAACTTATCACCTATTTTTCCTTTATATTTCTAGTCTTAGCTGTAGAAAAATATATTTTTTAAAGTTGCAAAGCATAACATAGATATAAGTGCACATTTTCATTTTCACTTAATTTTATGTAATTATATTTTCCAAATGGCTAGGTTTTATAGATTTTTTATAAGAGCTTCATAATATTCCTCCATGTAGCCTTGTTAATAGTCTGTCAATAGATAGTTGGGTAATTTATTTTAGTATAGCATAAAATCATGCTGTCTTCAACAGTTTTCATGTCAGCTTTTAATATTTTTAATCAAGAAGTGATAATACCATACAAAATAAATTTTTTTCATTTTCATTACCAATAAAAAATAGTCTAAGTGCAATTACTGGACCAAAACATGCTTCCATTTTTATGGTTTTGTATTTCCCAGATGTTTTCCAAAAGGACTGGCCAAATTATACTTCTATCAACAACAGATGAGCTTACCACCTTCACTGTCTCACAGTAACACTGAATAACCTTTTCAGTGCATTTGTGCATACTATATTAGTTACAAAATTGAACCTGGTGGGTCCATTTTAGACAAGGCATTGGAGATTTCTGTGATTACTTACTATTATACCGAACAGTATATGTAAATGAAGTATGCTTTGGCTGTTTTTCAGTATAGTTTGATGCACCAGCCTATGTCGGTATCTGTTTTTCCCAATGACTGGCTGTTTTCATGCTTGTTATACGGCAATGAACTCCACACAACTGAGCTAGTTACAGAAACTTCAGACCCAAATGGCAAGCTTAGATATCCCTGGCACCTCAAGAAACTGAGTTGCTGTTTGCTAAAACTACCTTCCTAAAATGAAAATGTCATTCCAATGAGAAGAAGAGCAGTTTTGTCCACTACGCACATAAAATGTACCCTTTGGCTTGAAAAATACTTTAAGACATGGGCTTTGGGTTCACACACTTCGATTTGGGTCCCAGTTCTACCATTACTTACTGGGCGCATGTGTTTAGACAATATATTTAATCTCAGTCTAGCTTCCTTATTGGAAAAAGAGGAACAATAATAAACCTCACTTTAAGATCAAGTGAGATAATGCATATAAATTGCTTACTACAGTGTATGGCACACAGTAAACAATAACATTTACCTGCTACCACTATTTTAGTATCATTACTTATTAATGACTCCAACACTATGATTAGCATAATTAACAATGTTAAAATTAGTAGCAGCAGTAGTTTCTGTATCTTAAACTGTACCTGTGGTAGAGAGTAAAATATGTAGGAAAGTTGATAGGAGTTTTAGAGATTCTACCGATCTTGTCCACACATCATATCAACTCCATCCATCCATTAATAGATGGAGATATAAAGATACATTCTTTAAAAAGGGAAATGACTCAAGGGAATTCACGTACTTCATACAGCAAAATATAGCCTGAAGAATAAACCTGGCTGTCACTGGCTGAGGGGGCCATGCTTATATGACACAAAGTGCATCCGGCATCCGGATTACCCAGACAGGGCCAGGTGGGAGCAGATCTCGAGAGGACTGCTGTGAAGTGAGGGGAAAGGGGAGACGCACCTGGGAGATGAGCAGCTGGCAAGATGCCAGCTCCCGCTCACTGGCATTCATCTTCCTGCTGGAGTCCATCTGGGCACTCTCAAGTTGTTTGCTGCGGTTCACCAGAGATTTGACTTCTGACTTCATCTTGCTGATGTACAGGCGGGCCATGGTGAATTCCTCTTCAATGACTCCATTCACATCCGCCAACTGAGCACAGAAGGAAACACACTCAAATACTGCCTGCTATATATATAAAACCTACCTTCAGGATGCCCTTAGATTTTTAGTTAAGAATCTCTAATCATACGGCAAGGTGCAAATTACTATACATTCAACCCCCAATTCTCTGGAATCTCAGGTAAAAATGCCAACAGAAAACCTGTACCAAATGTTATTTTCAATTAATCAGATTTTTTATTGCAATTGACTTGTAGGATTAAAGAGATGACATCAAATGAAAACACACTGAAGAGTTTAAAAAGAAAATAACTCTGAAGAAGTACTCCACTCAATGTCTTACACCTTATATCTCTACAATAGCAATGAGATCTGTGTTCCTACTGGGAACCCTCAATCCTTATAAAACTTCAAGTGTTCTCCACATCCTGCTTATTCAGGGGGAGAAACAGTCTAATGCCTTGAATGTTTCTATTTAAAAAAAAGACTTAAATTAAAAAAACGTTCAACATAGTCCTCAAACAATCTAATGAATAGGAATGTGCTATTCATTCCAAAGCTCCCTCTTGATGAAAGTTTTTCTATGCATGGCTTTTCATTTTTGTCCATCTGTTTTTTCGTACTTTGTAATGCCTGCTTTTTCCAAGCACTCAGTTGTCTTGCTCATTATATAGAATCATTTGAAGAACACTGGTCTAAGTTTACCTTTAGAAAACTCTGAAAGTTCTCCTGCATTGTGTATAATTGGCTTCTAAGTTTCAGAGCTCTATTGTAAATAAAAACTGCAGCAAGATAACTGGGGCAGAAACCCATTTGCTTAAATGCAGATACTGGTACGTGTACGCCCTGCAAGGGCGACTGACCAAACCAGTAACCGCCTGTGTACTTTGATTAACCACCAGAGGGCAGCCTAGCACCTCAGGAAAAGACAAGAGAGCTGTCCAGACTCCAGTTGCTGGATCCTGGCTTCAATAAGCTCCAAACAATGACGCCAACTGTAGTTTTTATTATCCCACAGTATATTCTCACTGCCCAATTGAGTCATTATCGTCATCAACTCATTATATTAACTATTTTTTCAGTAAACATTTAAGAGCTACTAACATAAAATTGAGTATCATGCTTGAAAATTATTAGCAAATACGAAGTACACTGGAAGTGCTGAATACTTTGGCATCAAGTTTCCCATAATAATTCAGCAGTGATACTTATTAGTGATATCAACATCAAGCAATAAAATGCAGAATCGCTATTAACAGCAATAAAGAACAAGGACCAGTTGTAACTCTTTCATCATGAAGGTTCTGGCTAAGCTAGTTCCATGTGTATTTCTGGCTGCCAAATATTTGTCTACCAATATTGCTCTTCATAACATTGTTTTTATAATCCAACAGCACAGAGATACAAAGTGGGAAAAGCCTGCAATATTTAAATTCAGTTTTGTTCTTCTGTCTTTGTCACTGGCCCAGCATGGAACAAGGACGAAAATCACTGGTCCACACCTGATTCATACACAACTGTGTGTCCCATACACAGCTCAGCTTCCACAGAAAGATAAAAGAATATCCATGCTCTCCATGTGTAATTTGCTGCTCTAGTGGGAAAATGCTGCTGTGTCAACAGCTTGAGCGCCCTAGGAAGAGCACGAACCCCTCTTCTCTAGGTCTGGCAAGGTAGGACCCTTCGGGTCCTGTGCCCAGGTCCCAGGTAAGTAGAGGAAGAGTAAATATATACACATAAAAAGATGGGATTCCTGCAAAGTGAGAGCCAGATATTTCTTCCTCCCAAAAGAGGCCATAACTTCTTAAGCTTGGCTTTGTCCTGGACATTCTAAAAGGAAACTTTGAGTCCTTGCCCAATGAGGAAAAAAAAACAATATGCCAAATAAATGGTTTCTGGCTATGAGGTTTCTTACCACTGCAGAGTTCGTAAATTTAGTGGTTTCATGTTCAGAGTTTCCGGAAATTCTAGGACACTGGTATTTCAAAAAGAATGACAAGAGTTTGCTGCTGAAATGTTATTCCTAACTTACCAGGGACTGACAATGTGTCCAGCCATACTGACAAGGCAATGTGATCCAGGACCAATGACCAACCCAGCAGAAAAGACCACACCATCATGAAATCACAGGGAAAGATGCCCCTGCCCCTTCTGCCTGGCAGATAGAGAGAGCCACCCCTACCACCACTCCAAGTCTCGGAAGCATGAAGTGACTGTGGAATATGAGGAACTACTCCCACTTCTAAGCCGAGTGAAAGGGAAGTGAGGTGAGCGTTCACATGCTAAGGCATAAAAGTTAGAATGGGACAAGAAGTCAGTACGACTGCAAAGAAAATTCAGCAATTGATCCAATGCATTTCATTTACTCTACACCTCATAGTTAACTTACTATTTTATTGGAACATAATAATTATCCATATTTTCTCACTTTTATACAATTTGTGGCTAGACTCCTAGATACTTTTGTTTTAAGGTACACCCAGTGACACAGGTTCATGAAAGAGGGGACTCATTAATGTACCTAGATAAAGTTAACACTGGGCTCATCTTGTTCTGTTGACTAAACAAAGCACTGCCTGGACCCTGGATATGTTTCAAGACAGAACTGAGGTAGGGAAATATGGAGGATTTTGTAGTTGTGAGTTCCTGGGTGGTCAGATCTGTCATATTCTGAGGGCTGAGGAAATCTCTGACACCCATTGCTTCTCCTGCCCTGGACTCCTAATGGGGGGACCTTATAAGAACTGAGGAGGATTTTAGGAACAGAAATACAAGATCACTGAAACAGACTTTTTTCCTATAGCAAAGTAACTACCATATGAATTGAGAGTCACAACCAGTAAGAAAAGTACCCGTAGCTATACTGATAACCCTAACAAATCCATGCGGAAGTCCTGTCGTTTCTGAGCTGATAAGCTCTGAGACTGTATCTGGGCTCATCTCATCATTTCACAAATTAGGAAAGTGAAGCAGAAGTGACGTATCAGCTTGCCCAAAGTCATACAACTCCTCCGGTAGCTTTCACTTCCCTAACAATTAAGTCACCATTATAAGGAAAAAAAGACATTTTTTAAGAATATGATGATTTCTAGGTGAGAGTTCTCAACAAAATGAACTAGGGCATCCAATGTCTAGAATCTTAAAATAATCACAAAAACATCCAATTGAGTATTTAAAAATAATCTCAATCATACTTCAGATTCCCAAAGGTAAAGACTCCTTTTTTAATGCCAGAGCACCCAGACACTCTTTGATTTCATTAGCATTTTCATCAGCACAATTTTAAAACATAGCATAAAAATATCTTCCTTTATCATTATCTGCAGCAGGCATAAATCAATACCACCTTCATGTTGTGAGGGCCATTTAATCAACCCAATGTCAGGATTTTATTGCTCAACACCAACATATGGCTCTAAAATTTAAATTCTCAAATATAAAACCACCAAACTGGAACTTAATAGGATTAATCCTATAGTACCTGAATATAGCATATTTATAGTACATAATATAGTACAGTACAGAATTCTGGGCTAAATTTAAATTCATTCACAAGGATTCATGAAATATTCAGTTACAATAAAAGCCCCTTGTAAGAAGGATTACGTTTACAAGAGGTCATACACTCTAAGCCTAAACCTGTCACACCATCCACGGGCTACTCTACTTCCCAGAAGTAGTCTATAAATGGAAACCTAACCTTGAGAGCCTTTTCTAGAATTTAATCCCAACTCACAACCTAAATGTTCCCACTAAGCAAACCGGTGGAGAATTCAGCCTTGTGAAAAGCAAAATGGTCAAACTCGAAAAAAATTCCATTCCAGGGATTTGTGAGAAGGTAAGCAATATAACACCATTTCCCAGCTTGACCAAATCAACATGCACTTATCAATAACTACACAGTACAAGGTACATTATTTTAAAGCCATGGTTATCAAAATACTATGTATTGGCATAAAGACTAGACCAATGAAACAGGATAGAGATCAGAAACAGCCCCACATGCTTTTGGGGCTAGTGGAAATGCTAATTTTCTTAAGGGCTGGTGATGGCTTCATGCATATACATACATGTCATGTCAAAACCTCCTAAATTGTCTACTTTAAATACATAAAACTGATTTTAACGTAATTTAGACCTCAATAACCCTTTTTTTAAATGCCTCCATTTTATTTTTGTAGTTAATGACAATGACCTCTCTATAATTGTAGCAAAGTGTCAACTATTCTTGACCAACAGTATTTTTATTTTCTCTTTTCCCTCTAGTCTCAGCTTCTGGAAAACTTCGTAGCACCCTCATTCCCACCCCCACCCCAACCTCTCTTCCTTGCTATCAGGAAATCTGGTGTTTACAATTCCAGGGGATTAATGATGATCATTTTGAGAGGATTCTAGTAACCCTATTTTTTGTGCTTTCCCACCTTCCCTTACCTAACAGTTTGGTTTGGTCATGGATCTGGTTTAGGCCAGTGAGGTATACGGGTAGGTATACTAAAGACTCAGGGAACATATTTCCCTCCTGGATGAAAATAATTGGCCTTTGTAGCCCACCTGGCTTAGGATGTGGCTGAGTGGAGACTTTTTGTAAAATAGCATGAGGATAGCAGAAATGGAATAGAGAAAAAGTCTGGGTGCTTGACACTACTGAGCCACTTCACTGAATCAAAATTTGCTTCTCAAACTTGTATGGGAATCTTGTTAAAATGTGGATTCCGATGTAGTGAGTCTGGGGTGGAGCCTCAGAGCCTTTGGCAGGAAGTCCCCAGGGTTGTAGATCACACTGCATACCAAGCCACCTGACTTTGCATACTGTGGATGATTAACTATGTTTTTATTTCTTAAGCCACTGTTAGAATCCCATTACTTTCCGCTGCAAACTTTTCTAACTCATATTGATTTGTCTGAGACTTTCCATTGCAGTGGGTTCTTATGGAAAGCAAGCAATATTCTGAGCCTAGAACTGTTACTTCAACAACCCAATTCCAACTTCTGTGACACTGGCAAATAAGACTGAGACATAAATAAGTTTACATAAAGCCAACGAGCATTTGAAGATGGCCCCTAAATGTGAAAAGCAAATCACTTTTCTCACCCTCACCCCAGCACTCAGTCTTTCCATCAGTCCTTTGTTCATTCATGGCAACATTTCCCAGCATGCGGCCCATGCACAGTGCTAGACACCGGACACTTAGGAGAATTAAATGTAACTCAGAATCACACAACAATAAGAGTAGGTAGAGAAGATAAAGGGATAGAGGAGCTGGCTTACGGTCTTCACATCATTGGTGCCAATAATTCCACCTATCTCCCCCAGATCCTTCAACAGCAAGTTCAAGATCTCAGTAGCCCTCTTTTTCTGGTGGTTGCTAAGCTCCTGTAGCTGGCTCAGCTCTCTCTGTGTGGTTGTCAATGTAGTCTGAAAAAACAAATGCCAACCACAAATTAAAAAGGTTGCCCATCAATTTCAAACATGCAATATTACAAAGTATGGTAGCTTCACGAAGGATGGAGTTCTTTTACCATTTTCTTGTGATTTCAACATGAGTCCTTTTAAGGCAAATTGTAATATAACACTGCATTCTTTGATGAAAAGAGGAACTTCCTATTAACAAGTACTTTGTATTGCCATATGTTATATGTTTACATCAGATGATAATTACCAAGTCAATGAAATAAGTTATCAAAAGTAAATAAAACCAAAAAATGAAACCCCCAAACGTTTTGTAGCGACAAGTGAGGATACCAAGTGCTGATCCATATATGTGACTGCCTTTAGTTGGCCTGTTATGGTGGCCTTGAAGTCCTGAATCGATTCAAAATGTTTGCCTCTTATGGTCATTTTGACTTTGCGGAAGAGCCAGAAGCTGTACAGTGCCAGATCAGAGAGGGAAATATGATGTTCCTAAGTGGCTCTCTCCCAGTAGCATTCTGCTTCTTCAGCAAATGCTGCAGGTGGACCCAAAGAAATGGATTTCTATGAAAAAGCTATTGAACCATCCCTAGATCATGCAAGATTACAACTGTCCTGTTGAGTGGCAAAGCAAGAATCCTTTTATTCACCTTGATGATGATTGTGTAACAGAACTTTCTGTGCATCATAGAAACAACAGGCAAACAATGGAGGATTTAATTTCATTGTGGCAATATGATCAGCCACCTATCTTCTGCTTCTAGCCAAGAAGGCTAGGGTAAAACCAGTTCATTTACAGCCTCCTTCTTTTTCCTGTGAACCTACTAGTGCCACCCCAAAGTCAGAGAATCTGAGTCTGGAAGATGTGACCACAGGTGGTGAAAATTATGTGGCTGGATTAATAGACTATGAATGGTGTGAAGGCAATTTATCAACTCCCCAAACACCACACTTTACCAAGCATTGGACGGAATCAAATGGCCTGGAGTTTAAATCATTAACTCTGGTATTATGCAGAGCATCTGCAAATAAATTAAAGAACAAAGAGAATGTATATACTCCTAAGACCACTATAAAGAATGAAGAGAACTTTATTTCCTGAGCCTAAGACTCCAGTTAATAAGAACCAACATAAAAGAGAAACACTTACTAGACCAAATCATTACACTACACCCTCAAAAGCCAGAAACCTGTGCCAGAAAGAAACCCCAATTAAAATACCAGTAAATTCAGTATGAACAGACAAATTAATGACAGGTGTCATTAGTCCTGAGAGGCAGTGCCACTCAGTGGAAGTGGATCTCAACCAGGCACATATGGAGGATACGCCAAAAAGAAAAGGAACCAAAGTGTTTGGGAGCCTTGAAAGGGGACTGGATACAGTTATCACTGTGCTTACCAGGAGCAAAAGGAAGGGCTGTGCCGAAGACAGGCCAAGAAGGATGAAGCTTCACTATAATGTGGCGACAACCAAACTAGTGAATCCTGATCAATTCTTGAATGAATTAATGTCTACTCTCCCAAAGAAGCATGTTGACCTTGTACAAAAGGGCTATCTATACACTGAAGTGTCAAACACAGTCAGTTTTGGCAAAATGGCAATGCAGTTTGAACTAGAAGTATGCCAGCTTCAAAAGCCTGAAGTGGAGGGTATCAGGAGGCAGAGACGTAAGGGTGATGCCTGGGTTTACAAGAGATTAGTGGGAGATATCCTGTCTAGCTGCAAGGTGTAACCGATGGATGGTTTCTATCCTGCCTGCTTGAACATGAGTGTCATACAGCCTACATGGAGACTGGTATGATTAGTTTGATTTTAAAGTCCATTGGAACTACAGACTCATTTCTAAAGAGCTGTCTTAAAGACTACTAATACCTTTTTGCCTTTAAATAAAAAATATTACTTTATGGATGAAACTAAGGCAAGCCCATCTGTCATTATCTGTTACTGTCTTTTTTAATCATGTGGCATTGTTTATTAATAATTGTTGACTTTCCTAGATTCTGATCCATATGTGGATGTAAATTCTTACCTATGTCTCCTTTTAATGTATAATTTCTTTCTGAAATAAAACTATTTGTGAATGTAAAAAAAAAATATGAAGCCCTTAGATGTATATCTTTACTCATATCCTCCTGCCCACCAGATTTTCTGTTCCAGTTCACTTTGTCTTAGTTCAGGGTCTAAACATACCTACCAGCACCCCACCTCCCCTCTCAAAGAAACCTGGTCCCTGGGCCACTTCCAAATTCCCACCTACTTTATAATAATGAATAGATCTGAGATAACACGGTCCAGAGAAACTTTAATGAGTTTAGGAAACAATTTTAAAAAGTTTTCTAATCTTCAGTGAAGTTGAATTAAACATTATTCATTTTTTTTCCAAATTAGTTGAGCTCAAAAACATCTTCTTAATATACAACAAAACTCATCTCTTTTCCATCCTTCATGCACATGACCAAAAGGTATATATTTTTACTAACTCTGGACATCAACAGAAAAGCTATCTTTTGATGTCTTGGTATAAACTTAGCCAACAAAGACATAATTCCCCTACTCCTAAAGCTGGAGAGCTTAGTTCAAAGACATTTATACAATTCTCCCATATGCAGCCAATTCATTAGCACATTTTTAATGATATGACTAAAAATTGTACTCTAAACCAGTCTACAGATACTTTGGCTTGAGAGAAAGTAAAAACTGCATTCTGGAAAATGTTTCATTGTTTTGAGAAGCAAACATCTGAACTAGTTAAAAGATTCCTGCAGAAAGCATTAAGCAGAAAAGATTTAAGTCTTCTTTCCTAAGTGACTTCAGGATGGATTTATTTTGTTTTGTTTGGCACTATCAACTGCTTATTTCAGGTTTTTAAATCCATAGAAGCAGTTGTCCCATCTCGGGAAGCCATTAGAAAGGTCTTCCTTCATACAGCTGAATGTATGAAGCAAGTAGCATTTCTGATCAGCTCCATGGTCGGCAAATCAGTCCTTTTCTGCCCCACCTGTTGCCTCTCCTTATCCAGGAGGACTGGATGTTTGTCACAAAGTAGGCTGGGCATGCGCCCATGATTCCAAGCCACTGGCCTGCTGCCAAGGGCAGTAGGTTACAGCCACCCAGCTTCTCCACCGTCCACTTTCTGAGTAGGAAAAGACATGGCCCACGGCCAGCCACCTTGCCTAGTGCTCACTGGACCTGCTGCCCGTCCCAGTTTGCTTCGAAAAATCTGAGACATCTTTCACTGAGAGAATCTGAAAATAAGGAAACGTACAGACTAAAACTCTGGATTAAAACAGGACAGCAAGCAACCAGGGACAGCTTAGTACCTACTTCCTAACAGTAATAACTAAGACAAGAAGCTGAGGGAAAGGAAGGGATTTCCTTCAAGAGGGTGTAAACAAGAATAAAGTTTATTCCTTTTGTGGGTCCCCCACTCTTACCCAGTCATAGCAACACTTCAGGTTTATGTACTGATGTTGTAGGACATGCACAAGTCCGTGCTGAGGGCTTTCCATAAATTGTCACTAATCCTCACACCTGTTATTACCAAGCAGTATGTTATTACCATTTTTAGAGATAAAATAATCAATACTCAAGTTCAACTGTCTTGAATAAGGCCTCAGAGTTATGAAGTCAAAATTTTAACTAGGATTTTTCTACCTCCAAAGTTTGCACTCTCTTGGCTTTCTACATGGCATCCCTACCATCGTTATAAACTCTCTGCATGTAAAAGAGTTGTGATATGCAGTTCTAGGACAAGTGGACAAGTCATTTCTAGAAACTATTCAATTATTTAAAGGACCTCAGAAAATGCAGCAAAGTTTAACATGGAATAAGCCTTCAGCCAACTGCATTCCTATACAGTGTCTGTCATTACCATTGTTTTTTTTTTTTTTTGGTACTGGGGATCAAACTCGGGTCCTTGCACTTGCAGGGCAGGTGGTGGAACCACTGTGCTAAATCCCCAGCCCTAGTGTCTGTCAACAAACATCAATACATGTACAGAAGTGGCAGCCAAGGAAGTCCCAGCCCCAGATACAAATGCTCCAACCGTTTTCTGGGCCAGCTCATCTGTCAGCTGCTCATTGGCCCTGGTCTTATCCTCCACCTCCTGCGACTTCTGGTCGTAATTGACAGCCAGCTCCTCCAGGGCCTGGAGAACTTCTTTCACCTCGTCTTTGGCCGCTTCGTTTTCAATCTGGAGACGGGTCAGCTCCTCCTGTATCTTCTCATAGTCTCTTCTTGTGGAAGCTAAAAGCTGAGGAAATGGGATCGTATGAAACTACTATTTAAATGTTTATCATTTGTGCTCTATCCAAAACAAATTTAAAACCGGATATAAGAAAGCAGTTTGGAAAAGTTAACAGTGACAGGAAACCCTACTTTCTGTATATTACGGATACTATATTTACTTTTTAAATTATTTTTAAAAATCTATTCCTAAACAACCAAAACAAAAGAAAAAGAAAAAGAAACAATGAATATCGGTTCCTTTTTAATTTGAAGCTGCATATGCTTAAGTCAAAGAATGAATTATATATCAAAAATCATTGTACATTATAACTGGTTTATTCTACATGGCAAACAAAAGATAGGGAATCATTTCTGAGGGTTACAAAACTTCTTATGTAGATTTTTAAAATATTATCATGATTTCACATTATAAACAGGTTGATTTCAAAGTTAACCAAAACTGCATCTAAAAGGCAATCAATCATTTTTTCTTAAAGTGCATCACGAATATGTAGAAGGACATACCCCAACATTAACACTAGTTAAAAACAGACACCTGGGCTTATGTATGCTTTCATTATGTTTGTTCTTATTGTTATTTTTCTATTTTCCTATAATGAATAGAGATGCTGCCTTGACAGTATAGAAAAAGAAAAATGTTAAAAGATTTTGACCTATAACAAAAAGGAAGTTTATCCCAAGCAGCTGTACCAATGTTGGAGATGTGAAGGAATAGAATGGAAGGCAGAAGGCAGAAAACACTAAGCCAGGGGAAAACTTCAAGTAGAAATCAGTTAAATATGCATCTAAGTCTAACACTGAATGTTACCAAGGGAAGTGTCTGGGCAGAGGGTATAATCACTGAACTGAAGAAATGAAAGGGAACAGGGAACAAAAGGGAGAGGAAGGAAACAGTTACAGAGACAGTTATGTCTGTCAGGGCTGAGGCTGGGGACGTCCAACCAAGCCATCTGTTCTCATCTCCTCATGTGACCCAACTGACAGCATTCTAGCAACGAAGCAGAAAGTACCGAAAACAGAAAAATGCTTAGATGATTCTCAGCAGGGAAATTACTAATTATCAATGTCTGATAGATCAGTTGGCTGTCCTTTGTTTAGGTTCCTGTTTATAAAATATTTGGCAAAACAGAATGTAACAAAGACATTTACTGAAGAATTGAATACCATCAGGAGAGACTGAAAATGATTTGCTTCTTTTTTAGAGTATCGAATATATGCTCATGCAGCAGGGCCCCTTTTTTCTTTGCTCTCCCCTCTTCTACCTTCCACATTTGATTTTGGTTTTGGGTTTTCTTTTCCCCTTACAGGAGAGCGGGAGAACATGGTCCCTGTTAAAGACCAGAGCCAGTTGGGCTGGGGATTTAGCTCAGTGGTTCCGGCGCCTGCCCCGAAAGCGCAAGGTCCTGAGTTCGATCCCTGGTACCAAAAAAAAAAAAGACCAGAGCCAGCTGATACACAGAGGCAAAACAGCCACACAGTAGTGCTGGAGGTGAGGAGGCAGAGCCATTCTTGCCCAGGTACCAAAACAGAGGTCTCTGCTTTTTCAGGACTAAGTATAACAAGCAGCTATTTACTCTGAAAACTCGAGAGCTCTACAAAGTCAGACAGTTGTAAATGTCTAAATTCACCCCAAATTGGCTTTTAACAGGCATTGAAAGGAAATCTACCAAGAAATTTCCAAATGATGCAGTGATTTTGAAAAAATTCTTTGCAAATTGAATTTCTAGAACATCTACTACAGAGTAATAAAAGAACTTTGCAGAGAAGAATTTATTGCATTCTTTACCTCATCCTGATCCAACATCTGTTGCTTTAGCTTTTCAGCCAGCTGGCTCTGTTGGTTAATTTCATCATCCTGAAACGAAACATCATGTTTAATTTTTTTTTAGTTATGTCATTTTTGATACCCTAGCTTCACAAGGATAGTGGGCTACTAAGATACCAGCCATAAGAGACCAGGGATCAGAGAAGCAAGACATGGGAACTGAAAGGGATTTGGGAGATTTCCCTCCAGTACAAAGATGCTAACAATGAATTCCTAATTCAAAAAATAAGCAGGTGAACCTCTAACTATCCGTGCTCTAATATATTAATGTCCCAGACAAGGTAATGTCCCAAATGCCACATGATAGGAAAGACCCATTTATTTCCACATCAAATCTTTTACTTAGAAAGACTGGAAAAATCATTTACTAGAGAGTTAATCTTTGCATTGCCAATCTCCCTCTTGGCTGGAAGTTAATTTTCTTACCAATTTTTAAAAACTGTGAAGGCAGCTAGGGAGCACAGTGTTAATGCTTACTTCCCAGGCTGTCACTGATTTGGGAGGGGCAATGTGCTCTCCTCACCCGCACTTTCTGCCACTAGGTGTTGCTGCCACAAAAGCAAGACCAGTCCTTACCCACTTCTCCCTGCAGGAACCAACATCTCTGCCTCTCCCTAGATACCATCCTCCCCAGCATGGGGATGATGGCTAACTGCATGAAAAACTCAAGTCTTTGCTGCAACATTTTCATGATTTCAAATGAAATTTTAAGTACAGCCTATGAAAAATGACAGCCTGGCTTCAATTTGCCTCTTGTTAGGGATAGGAAAAAAATTCTATTTGATGACACTTTTTGGATCTACACCTCAAGCAGAGTCAAATCTGGCTCTCTATTATTCGATTCCTCTTTGTGTCAGGTCCTGCTGAGGTGCTGTCATCAACAGCCCATAAAAAGCCCCTGTATTATGCTTTCTGTCCTTCCCACAAGTCAGGTAAGGGAGGGCCAGCCTATGTAACAGATCATCAGCTTTCCATGGATGGTCCGCAGCCTGTCTGGCGGCATCTACACATATGTTTGAATCAGGTTAACTCAGTGTCACAAACTAATTCTTTCCAAAGAGCGAGAACATTATAAAATCAGTAGTATAGGCTTTGGGTCTCCTTTTCCTTTGTGTAGACCATCCTTTGGCCTCTTCTGCTCAAAAAAATCTTATTTCTACTGAGTTTTTTATACCAATGTTTCTACAAAACACTGATGACCTTCCTCCCTACATCAGATTCCTGGCAGGAGAAGTAGGGAAATTACACCAGAGTGAAAACAAGAGGAAAAAAAAAGAGGTACTTCTCCAACTAGCAGACTATTTTGTATGACATTTTCTCTTCTACTTTAGAGATTTAGCATGTCAGTTACCAGGAACAATTTTGTGTTTATGCTTCTCAGCACATAAATATTAAACAACTTAACATAAAAGGCCCAAGGAGTTTAACATCAGGGAGCCACCATCTTTCCCCACTGGGACAAATGAACAACAATCCAAACGATAGAAATAACAAGAGAATAGAAATGCTGGCATGAATTCTTTGTTCTTCTACAGTGCTCATTTCAAAGCCTGAAGACTCGGCTTCCTCCTTAACAGGTGACAAGCTGGGATTTTGAAGGTACAACAAAAAACCAAAGGCCCCTGGCCCAACCTCGGAAAGATGAAGAACAAAGATTACATTATAAGGACACAAGTCACTTGTGCTAAAGACATTTCTCAAACTACATTTATCCTTTACTAAAGGAACTTTCTACAGAATTAATATAGTTTGTTGTTTTTCTTTTTTTCATTTCTCAAAACGTTCAGGACAAGGCATGCCACCTATTCTGTATCTATACAGTCAAATGGATCTCTCAGGACATGTTTAAGCATGCTCATTCTGCTGCCAACTAAGATCTGGTTCATGGGTAACAGATTTCAAAGCACTTCTCAGAAAATAATTTAGTAGCTGAATTTCCTTACACATGAAATAATATGTACAACCCCAGTTGTCAACAGGTCACTGGTTACCTTTAATTATTAAAACGTTTGGGCCATGGATTTAGCTCAGTGGTTTCGCCACCTGCTGCACAAGTGCAAGGACCTGAGTTCAATCCCTGGTACCAAAAAAAAAAAAAATGTTTTTGTTGCAATGGTAATCAGTGTAATACGGAATCAAATTATACTTCAACTTAACTTTTCTTGGATTTTCAATAGTGGGGTAGTATCAGAGAAGTAACTAGAAACAAGAGAGGTGGTACCGGCACCAATTTGTGTTACACCTCTGCTTTCAGCCCCACTCAGTGGCACCACCAATTCAGTACCTCAGTGTGGCTTCTCCCTCAAGCAATCAGACCCAGAAGGGAAAAGACGAAAAAAGAAGACTTTCTAATATTTATAGAACATTTGCTCTGCATAAGAGGATTTTACTCCCCACCAAAACCTTCTGAAGTGACAGATACGAGTCCCGTGCTACAGTTAAGAGAGCACAGTCAGCCAGGGCAAGGCATTGGCCCGGGTCTTGGCATTGCTGAGTTGCTGGCCTGACTCCACAGTGTATGTTTCTCCATCATATGACACTGATTTGGGAAAGCGGCTGTCCTTAGACCTTTGGAGGGGCAGCAAAGAGGGAAACAGGGGCAGCTGGGAAGAAAACCTGTAGTCTTTCTTCCACTGTACCCTGAAAAGATTCACTGGGGTTGACTAGTTCCTCATTTAAAGGATTTAGGTCAAAATGGGATGAGCGCTAGCCTGGAAGTCAGAAGACCTGCAACCTCATTCCAGCTCTGCACTAGGGGCAGTGTGAAACTGGGTAAATTGTGTATCCGACCTGGGTTAATGTCTCACTTACTCCCTGATACTCTCAGTCCTACCATTCAGTGGTTTATAAAGACACCATATCCCAACTTAGGTATTTTCAAAGCATCATACCACCTATATTACAAGAATAATGAAGATATCTTCTAGAACCTTTGAGAAGGCACATAAGAATGAAGCTCATCAGACATAATCAGGCAGCCCATAGTTAGTCACTGAAACAGATTGCCAGCTTCGATGCCCTCTTAAGGCCAAGGCTCTGGGGTTTAGTTTTCTCTCACTCTCTCAGCATTGTCCTGTGATGGACCACAAATGCTAACTCAGAATTGTACACCTTACCAGGATCTCGAGGCTTATGCTACAGGAAAATGAAATAACAAAAAATGTGGCCATCAGAACAGAGACTCTAGAAGTCACCAACTGCGTATCTTAGACAAGGCACTTTCCTGTCTCTAAAACTGGTTCATTCCTACATTTCAGAATGAGACTGAAATTTCTCTAAGTCTGAAAGCTCTTCATGAAACCAAGGTAAAGTATGCTAATTCCAATACTCTCTATAGATTAAAAAAATGACCCTATCAATTCTTAAATGAGAACAAAAATGCATATGGTTTTTCTTTGCTATCTAAAAAATAGCAATTCTTGGGAGAAATTAAAAATTGAATAAACTTAACTTACAATCAATCTTCTTTTTCTCTCAGTTTGAGGTTTTGCATAAAATATCTGGGTAGAAATTAAAGGTAACAGTATACCCAGAACATGAAGGGCAAGTGACCCAGTTCTCTTGGGTGTGAATATTTTATTACATGTTTTCAGAAAGGTAGGGTGATCCTGGTTTAACGCTGTAGTTAATATGCAAACTCCCAGAGTAGCAAGGAAGAGCTAGCTTCTTTAAGGCAGCCAGTCACATTCAGCTTGTAAAGGTGACAGTAGACTCTGAGCTTTAAAAAGAGAGACACTTATAAGATTAATGGCAGCGTTAACATGGCCAACCTGTTTTGTCCAAGTCAGAGGTGTCCCCAAGCACTCTGAGCTGAACGACAGCAGAAAAAGATTAGACTAAAAATATGAGCAACCTTGATGAAATGAACTGAAAGGATTTAGAATATTCCAAGGGCAATATGCCAAGATCACATAAAACATCAATTTAATTTCCTATGCCTCTGGGATTCCCAACACAACCTTTATTGGTACATGTTCTTCAACATCTATTCCGTATTTCCTCTTCCAACTCATGCATTTACATGACTGTTTGAGTTCTAAAAGCTTTTCACAAAATTAAACATCTCCAATTAGCATGTTCACATCACTTCATCCAATCATCTGCCACTGAAGAGATGAAGTAAGGCCATCAGTCTACACTGCTATTAGCTTCTCATCACATAGCTACATGACTCAACTCACTCTTGAGTTTTCAGAATCATCACCCTTGACCAAGATTGGGCACTGTTGATTTTTCCAGAAGTGGGATGGGCCCAGACAGAAAAGAGTTGTAAACAAATGCTATGCACACTCTCACAACTCTATACTCCCTTGTAATAATCAGCTCAGTCCAATTTCTAGAAATAAAGACTCTAAATAGGACCTGACTGTTTCAACCAACCTCCTTCCAATCAAATTTCCATGAAGGTTTCTATACCACATGAATCAAGCTCCTTGAGTTTGCACAATCCAGAGCAAAGATAGGTATTAGGAAGATAGGGATCAAGATTGGTCTGAAGTCCTCAAACAGTTCCATGGGGCTTCATGCTATGTGGATTTTATACCAGAGAGAGGACTATAAACCTCCAGCTACAGACCTTATCATCCAGTTGCCTGTAAAGACTGGAGATCTCTTCATCATACTTCTCCTTCTCCTCTGTAGAAATGCCAGCAACAACAGGAGCAATGTTGTCTATGATGGGTGTATTATCACAGGGCTCCAGATTCTTCTGGTCCTTAGCACTGATCTGTTCATCCTCAGGCACAGCCTCTCCTGCAAAACAGCCAAGACAAGCTGAAGATTAAAGAAATTGAGCATGCAACCCTCTAGGAAGAGTTCTAAAAATAGTCACTGCTGCTAAAAAATACACAGAGGACACACTGAAAAGCTGTTATATACAGTGAAAGTCTGTGTTCTTTCTCTTTGATGAGAAAGGTCTAGTTAATTGACCACAACTAGACTAAAGAAGAAGATTCCCCTTCCCTTTAGATGCATAATTTAAGTCAACTGGATCCACTGACCACACAAGCTCTTAAGTAATCCAACTTGTAGCAATGCCTCCAATTTTGTGCATTTATTTTGCCTTTGTCAAGAAATACTAGAGCTTTACTAGAAATATATTCTTTCTGATGACTGATTCAAAGGGGAAAAGATCTCTGAGGCATCCTAATTACCAATTAATTATGCTTCTGTCTCATTAATAGAAATAGCCAAATCAAGGGACACATCACCATTGTTTAACTAGAACACCTTAGGGCCCAAATCCTCAAAACGGGAGCATCTCTGAACTAGCATGAGGAAGTCAGGGCAGCCTGGACCCAAGAACTCCTACTAGTGCTGTGCAAATGCACTTTCCACCACCACTTTCTCCCTGAGGTAGTCAGAATTAATTGGCTCTGCTGGAAAGTTCAGATAGAACAATTTCTTGTGAAGTCAGGCAGTCCTAGGAAAAGAAAAAAGCAGCCAATCTAGAATATCATGCAGAGATCCTACATTCCACTTTCTGTCTGCAGAGCACAGTTTGTTAGGATCTTCAAAGAAAACACTGCTAAAGTTAACAAGGCCAACTGAGAAAAAGCTGCTATTCTCTAGTTAGCTAACGGCTATCCCCAACAAGAAAACCACCTTGCAAAGACAGGGTCTGCAAACTGGACTCCACTGAAAACCACTTGGACCAATTGAGTCTTTCAACTGCCTTCTTGAAAAGCAAGCCCAATTCAAACACACTTTTCCGATACAATGTTTACCATGACTTCACACCCATTTCACTACAGCCAGTGAATGTTGGTGATGTTCCGAGCCTCACCCAGGTTCACAGCCCATAAAATCCATTTTGTGAAAATTCCCCAGGAAAACTGCCCTGAGCCAGAAAGAAATTTAAAAAAGAAAAATAGAAGAACTGAAATCCTAATCTTACCTTCATTAACATTATATATCATGCTCCAAGGGACTCACTTGAGCATCGCACACTTAATTTCAATATGAACACAACATGTGGTGGCCAAGGTCTGTGGCTTACATTTCTATTACTTCACGGGACAATCACAAAGTGGTACAGGCCTCCACATCAAGCAAAACTGACACCAACAGCTTCACTTTTGTATCACAGTTCTGTCTTAAGCAGCAACTGGAAGCAAAATCTCGCATAAACTATTGCTTTGCTGAATGCAAACTGGGCCCACTCCCCTTTCCCTTTTTGACTAGACTGTACTGTACCTAAGTCTTTTTCTAGAATTACTGACCTGAAACAAAAATCAGAATATCAGGGTAGCCTTTGAATTGAACTGGAACCAAGGCAATATTTCATTCAACCCCAATTCCTGCCTTAAAACATCCATTAACAGCCTTAGTGTATGGACTGGATTTCATCCAATTAAAGGATCTATATTCTCTACAGCCTATGAAATTCATGGGCTATAAAAGCAGTAAGGTAAACAGATATAGATAGATGAGATAGGTAATTTTCTAACCACACAAATTATTTACAAAACATTCTTAATAACTCAAGGAATACAGAGCATACATGAAAACTTTGAAGTCCTTTCCTTCTAATTCTGTTCCTTCTCCTGAAAAATTCACCACTAACATTTTGGCAAACGTTCTTTCTCCACTTAGTTTTTCACTTTATGTCTCATTTTTTCAGGTACAGCTTCTGAAATGTGGGAACAGGGTAACCCAGTGTAATATGAATTGGCCTTCTAGTTTAAACATGATGAAGGTGGATTCTTAATACACAGAACCAGAAGCCAGCCAGACTATGATCATATTATCCACAGGCTAATTCTCTCCAAGAAAAAGATAAGACATTTCCCCATGCTCTTTGGTTCCCAACGCCTGGGATGATAGTGATACCACGATGCTGGGGTGAACTAAGCTGTTTTCCAGTGTGCTTTTTTATTTATCTGGTCAGGAAGTGGCCAAGGATGCATCTCTGACATAGCAGCAAATAACCTGCTCTAAACACAAGTCACAGGCCTGCCTCCCCCGAAAGTTGCCCTCTGCTTGTGCTAAGGAATTACCCTATCCAAAGAGTGAGGATGTTCTGGATTACAGAGGCCCAAAGCACTTTGGGTGCTGCTGCATGGCATCCTGAAAGTGAACAATGGACTCCCACAAATATGTCCACGGCTGTGGCAGGCTGTGGCTAAAGCCAAATCGCATCTTCCCACAGGTTTGATTAATCACAAATTCATGTCCTGTTTAACCTCGTGGATTGCTTTTTGTAAAGGAGAGGAAATAATAATGCCTTCATCACAGGGTTGTTCTAAAAATAAATGAAGACAGTATATGTAAAAGGCACAAAAGGTGTTATTGTTTAATGTCCATCTCTTACCTCTTCTTCTCCCTGACAAATATGCAACATTTTAGACTTGGCACATCAATTTTTACTCTTCTGGGATTAATATTTCTAGTGACTTCGCAATACCTTTTTGGCTAGACCACAGTTCCAAAACTAAAATATGATATAGGTATGTAAGTCCCTTTCAGGTTTCTTTTTATTATTATTAAAACAATATTTGAAACTCATAAGCAGACTTTGTGATTTCTCTTAGACAATTCTCTGAACCAAAGCATCAACATATCTCCCACAAAGCTACACCTAAACAGCGAGCCCTGCCAATCTGTATTCTAAAGGTCAGGCAGTCAAGATTATTTTTTGCAGCAGCCATTCAGGCAGAGCAGAACAAAGCAGCAACATGCCAAAACAAAGCAGCACAGCTCCTGGCCAGAGAGGAACCAAAGGCTGTTCTCCCGAACACCACTGCCCTTGAAAGGACGGAGAAAATGACTTCCAGAAGGGGCCCTGGTAACTACAATGTCCAGCTCACAAAGATGTCTGGGGACTGTAAATTCCCAACAACAAGCAAGACCTGACACCAGGCAATCTGTCTCCATGGCAATTCAACACATTAATCCCTGCACTGCAGTGGATGGAGTTTCCTGAGAAGCAACCCCCGAAAGGTGATTTTGGAATAACTAATTTTAATAAGAAAGACAGCTGCAAACAAACTCTGGAGGAATAACGCCCTGACATTTGTGGTGGGAGAAGGACAAAGGAACCACCAAATGAAGATTAGCACCTATTTTTATTCTCTTTCTGCATGAAAGACAGATTTTTTTCAGTCTAGCCCTGAAGGCTCATCCCCATTGTCTAAGGGAAAGAGGTTATAATATTGTAAAGCATCGTATTTTCTAGACTGAAAGGCTCCTGCACACACACACAGACACACACACACACACCAGAAACCTTCCCCTTCTTTAAATAAACATCCTGGCATTTACTATTGTCAGATGTAATTACCTTTTAAGGACTAAAAAGATTTGTGTTTACATAGGAGCATTCACTTGGAGCATACCTATCAGGCTTGCAGAGCATTCTAATTATAAAATGAAAACCCCCAGAAAGCATAAACAACATTTCTACAAAACATAGAAATCCATCAATTGCAATAGACAAGAATGACAGACTAATCAAAAATTCTCTTTAGGTCTATTAGTTTAAAATTCTAAAATAGGTTTTTTGGGGTTTTTTTTTTTAAAGAAAACCATTAGACTGCCAGGAATTCATTAAAATTTCACACATGAAATAGCAACAAGCTAGTTTTTCTTTTCATAAGTTGAGTTCCCTAAAGCCTCAGGAGAACACAGAAAGGTAATTGCATTCTCTCAACATCTCCAGGGCAGAGATTTGCTGGTCACTCACAGCTTCCGCCAGAAACCACCGTAGATCCGGCAAACGAGGTGTTTTGTTTTAATACCAATTAAATAGGCCCGGTGGCAAACCTAACGGTAAGTAATTTCTATATCAAAGAAACTAAAAGGAAATCTTTAAGTTGCCAGATGGGTAAGAGCAGCTGGCCACAAGATGTCATTATATAAATGGTAGGTTCCAAAAAAAGCATTTCTTTATGAGATTGTTTTGCATGCGAATGGCATCCTTCACCCTAGCTACTAAAAATACTGTAAGCAGCTTAAAGACATTCTCTAATCCCATCTAGGGTGATTCTGTAATGGACTGGTCACCTGGGACTCTACACTCTCTTTACTTTCACGGGCTCTTGAACAATCTACGAGGTTCTCCAAGCAGTCAGTATTTCTTACTGTTTGTGCTCTCAAAAGAAGAAGGAGGGCCTAGCAAATTAGATATCCCAAATGAGATACTGATTTGTGCAAATACACCACAATCATGAATCCAAGAGGGAGGCAGCACAGGCCACAGAGTTAATGCTTAACAAGCTAATACGACACAAAAGTCCCAAAGTTCCACAGAGCCCCACTAAGACTAGGTTTTCTAGATACTGGACAATGCCTCCATTCTGGCAGGTTTTGAACTTGAAAACCAAATCTGCTCTAGAGATGACCAATTCTTCCTGCCTTCTCAACCTGTCATGAAAGCATTTATTTGCATGATTTCCACAGATGGGGCAAGTCTACATCCATTCTATTATTTAATCTTGTATTCAATTATTCAAGAAAAGAGATGGTAGATATAACAGATTGTCAGGCCATTGTTCTCCTGACACCTGGAATTTCAGGTCCTCCTTTTTCTGACTTAAACCCCTATAAAAACGGTGCATTTTTTTTAAGGTGCAAAATTCCAAGTGTCAGAGATTAGCACACATTGAGAATGATTTGGTAGCCATGGGAACACTGGACCCAGCCACCTCTGCAAGTCACGGCCCTGTCCTTCAGCCTTTCTTCCACCTCCTCCTGTCAAGAGCTTTCTTGATGGAGAGGCAGGGCTGACCTAGGGGTCCTGATTCACCCTGAAT